CCCCCCCAACGTAACACCCACCCACCGACCGACCGACCGACCCCTCCCCCACTCCAGCCGCAGTCACACCCACCGCATTCAGTTAGAGCGAACGACCCCCACTACACCGACAGGCACACTGACTGACTGAAGCCCCAGTCCACCGAGTCAGACTATTAACCCCCACCACCCCATCCACAGTCAGACTCATTAATTCCCCCATACCTCACCCCACGTCAGACTAAGCGACTGCCCCCCCCCCCCCCCCCGTCCCAGACCAGGCCCCTTGCCTTCACCACCCCCCCCCCCCACCCACCCAAATCAGATTATCCGATCTTCTTTCTCTCTCTCTCCCCACCCAGAGTAAGGCTGAGTGACACCCCCCACTAGAATTAGGCTGACTGACTGACCTCCCTCCTCACCTCAGTAAGACTGACTCCCACTTAATTCAGAGTGATTGACTCAGGGGGCAACGAGGCCGAGGCTCACCTGAATAAGAGTGACATGTTTGTCAGTGGCAAGTGAAGAGATCAGCGCGTTGTAAAATACTGCAAAATCTCTCCTTTCGCCGAGCTGGTACATTTGCAAGTACAGATGGAACTGAGACAATCAAAATTTTACGTTTGGTCCAATGCTCACAGATAACGTTGGAGAAGATTTGCAAGAATTGATCCCTTAGAGGGGGGAACCAAATAAGGAGATTATAAACCCAATGATTATTTGGCAAAAAAAAGTGCAAGGTGATGGTGGTTGACAATAAAATTGAGCTTAATTTCATGTGCCACAACCAGCCTGCCATTTCTCATCGGTTGGCTATACAGACAAAACTTGAATTGCATAAAATCGACCTAGTAAAAGGAAGGTGAGAGACTGTACATCATAAAACATTACTTAGGCATTCAGGTGCATCTCTCCAGTCCCACTGACATTTAGTGAATCACCAAATTCTCATTTATTCAACCCTGAATACAATTACTAGCTTGAGTGCACAGAAAACCTACACACTTATGAATAAAGGAATGATAATACTGACTGAAGTGAACATAATCAAATAATTCAATCTTGCAAGTATTTAAAACAATGGTTTCTCTTGAAACCAAATTTAAAAAACTGGAAGAACTGCAGATGCTGTAAATCAGGAACAAAAAAACAGAAGTTGCTGGAAAAGCTCAGCAGGTCTGACAGCATCTGAAGAAAATAAAAATCAGTTAATATTTTGGGTCCAGTGACCCTCAATTCAGTTTTGCTGTCATATGCAAACTTACTCACCATTCCTCCTATATTCACCTCCATATTATTTATATAAAATGACAAGAAGCAGTGGACCCACCACCCAGCCTTATGGCACTGCTGGTCATAAGCGTCTAGTCTGAACAAGGACCTTCCACCACCACCACCCTGTCTCCTATCCTCAAATCAATCTTATACCTAAATGGCTAGTTCTCCCTGGATTCCATGTGATCTAACCTTGTAAACCAGTCTACCACTTGGAACCTTGTTGAATGCTTTGCCGAAGTCCGTATAGACAACATCCACCGCTCTGCCTTCAATCTTCTGTCACTTTTTCAAAAATAAATCTAGTGAGCACAGTTTCCCACACACAAAGCCATGTTGACTATCCCTGATCAGTCCTTGCCTTTCCAAATGCATGTAAATCCTGTCCCTCTGAATCCCCTCCAACAACTTCCCCACCACTGATGTCACACTCACCGGCCTATAGTTCCCAGGCTTTTCCTTACCACCTTTCTTACATTATGGCACCATATTAGCCACCCTCCAGTCTTCCAGCACCTCAGCCGTGGTTATCAGTAATACAAATATCTGAGCAACAGGCCCAGCAATCACTTCCCTAGCTTCCCGCAAAATTTTGGGGTACACCTGATCTGATCCCAGGGATTTATCCACCTTTATGCATTTTAAGATGTCTAACACCACCTCCTCAGTAATATGGACACTTTCCAAGATATCACTACTTATTTCTTCAAGTTCTCTAGCTTCCACATCCTTCTCCACAGGAAATGCAGACACACAATATTCATTTAGTATCTCACCCATCTCTTGCAGTTCCACACATAGGCAACCTTGTTGATCTTTAAGGGGCCCCTATTCTCTCCCTGGTTATTCTTTAGCCTTTAATGTATTTGTAGAATCTCTTTGGATTCTCCTTAATCCTATTTGCCAAACTTGTCTCAAGTCCCCTTTTTGTCCTACTGACTTCCCTCTTAAGTGTCCTCCTACAGCCTTTATACGGCAAGGGATTCACTCGATTCCTCCTGTCTTTACTTGACATATGCCTCCTTCATTTTCTTGACCAGAGCCTCGATTTCTTTAGTCATCCAGCATTCCCTGCACCTAACAGCCTTGCCCTTCACACTAACAGGAACATACTGCTTCTGGACTTTCATTATCTCATTTTTGATGGCCTCCCACCTTCCAATCATCTCTTTACCTGCAAATAGCCTCTCCCAATCAACCTTTGAAAGTTCTTGCTTAATACCATCAAAATTAGCTTTACTCCAATTTAAAACTTTTAGATCATGTCTATCCTTTTCCACAACAATTTTAGAACAAATAAAATTATGGTCATTGGCTCCAAAGTGCTCCCCCACTGATCCCTCAGTCACTTGGCTTGCCTTTTTCCTTTAGAAAAGATCAAGTTTTGCTCCTTCAAGAAGCATATTCACATACTGAATAACAAAATTTTCTTGTACACACAAATTCCTCTGCATCCAAGCCCTTAACACAATGGCAGTCCTAGTCTGTGTGTGGAAAGTTAAATCCCCTACCATTACAACTCTTATCATACTTACACACAAGATCTCCTTACAAATTTGCTTCTCAATTTCCTGCTGACTGTTGGGGGGGGCCTACAGCACGATTCCAATGAGGTGATCGTCCCTTTATTTCATAGTTCCACCCAAATAACTTCAGTGGACATACTCCCAGGAATATCCTAAGTACAGCTGTAATGTTATCCTTAACCAAAAACATCACTCCCCCTTTTCTATTCTTCCTGTAGCATCTTTACCCTGGAACATTAAGCTGCCAGTCCTGCCCTTCCACAAGCCATGTTTCTGTAAAAGGCTATAATATCCCAGTCTCATGTTCCTGACCATGCCGAGTTCATCTGCCTTACCTAAAATAAATGCAGTCTTACCTCATTCTGCTTTGTTCTTGCCTGCCTTGACTATTTAAGTTGTTCCACTCTCAATTGTACCATCCTCAGACTTATTCTCAAGCTCGTTGGGTCTCTTCTTCCCACCCCCGTGCTTGCTAGTTTAAAGCTTCTCGAGTAGCACTAGCAAATCTCCTGGCCAGGATATCAGTCCCTTTCCAATTCAGGTGCAACCCATCCTTCTTAGACATGCAGAATAGGAGTACTTTAAAATAGTATCAAAAGACGACAAATGGAGTTATTCAGACATGTTACGCATGCAGAAGGATTAACAGAAAAGCAAGAGGCTGACAGTAAAAGGAAACAGCTGGGTTTTAAAGAATGGTTTAACCAGAACTTCAACAATGAGATCAACCATTGCTACGTCTGGAAAACCATGGTTGTCTACTTCACTTGAAATGGCACTTAGACAATGCCAATATAGGCTAAAAAGATCTGGAATTGAGGAAACTTATTTGAAATGTATCCCAGAGCTCTGCCCCAACTCCACACCCCACCCATTCCCTCCTTTTCTACATTCTTGCTAATATCATCCAAATACATGGGGTGAGGCTTCACATGACCACTGATAATACCTAGCTCCAACACTCTACTTCTCAATCTCCCCATACCCTTGTGCTATATTTCCATTTTATTTACTTGCAATCATGAATCAGCTGCAACTTCTTCCAGTTAAACATCAGTTATACCTCTGCTATGAATTGTCCCCAGGCACAGTATCAGGTTAGGCCAGACTACTTGCAACTCAATCGTTCTATTTGGCTACAACCTCCACATCCAATCCCAAATTTGCATACTCGAATTGCCTATTTTCACCTTTGGATCATCTTTCACCATCTTTGCCACCACCCATCTGCTGAGAAAATCCTAGTCTATTCTTCATTATCTCCTAATATGGCAATTGCATTGATCTCTGGACAGCTTAAGTTCCTCCGTCAAATTTGACTCATCCCACTCACTCAGTGTAATATCAATAATGACTGGAAGTACCAGATTTTGGAAAGGTTGATGCACCTGACCATATTTTGGCAGAAGTAATAAAGATGTGTTTATGATCCAGCTTATGTTATTACCAAACAAGTCAGATCCCAAATTGAAATCTGACTTGACATTTTTTTTTAAAAAATTTAATGAAATAGTCTTTCACTGAAGCATAACACAATGCTGCAGATTTGGTTTTAACAAATCAGAAGTTTTTGCCTCAAAAGAGATGATAAAATAGAGTAACCCAAGCTATTAACATAGAACAAGTTGAACAGTTTCAAAACACAGTAAAGATACAATCCCATCTGTCCCAACAGCAGCATTTACAGTACTCCAAGTTCCCTTCTCTATCATATCTGTACATTTGACTGATGTGTTTCTTTCAATTCCCAGTCTTGAGAGTTTGATAACCTTTTCCTTGATTATTCACACGCGAGTTTAGACACAACTTCAAATAATGCTTTCATGATTCTACCCTAACACTTTTGGTCTGGAGCTTCCAAACTAAAACCCTGACACCAAAGTAAAGTACTTCCCAACTGTTCTAAATAACTCCTTTCACTAGAAGAAACTGGTTCTTACACAGTCCTGGTTGAAGTCTGATATATGATCTGAAGCCAACTACTTTATTCCATGAATTTTCCCCTTAGGTAAATTTAAAAAAAACTTCTTGAT